CTGGTCCTGCCAGAGCAAAGATGCAAACAGATGGTCATACAAAAATGGCCAAACAACTTACACACTTTGAAAATAACACACTTTGCCTATAGCACAGTAAAGACTTTCACTATCTGGCGAATTATCATCAATGCCCAACGTCCAATCAACAATCAGATATTTTTTTCCCATGCAAATAGTTCTCAGGATCTTCACGACATTTACAGAGCTTCAATTGAGCTTCAATCCACTCCTACTGATTAAGTCACTAGAGGCTGGCCTTTTTTCGGGAATCCCACGGGTCACAGGAATTTGAGAAACAAAATCACTATGTATCACGGGATTGGGACGAGAAAGGAAAAAAAAATGTCAGCGGGAGTGGGCGAGACCGGGAATCGCAATAAAACTATGATACCCAACTTTATACACCTATATAAAGTTTCTATAAATACATTTTGAATTAAATTCAATTTGGCTGGTAAAGTGAATGACTTGCTCCACACACCTGTACCAGTTGGTGGCTGTAATATAGCTGCCAACTCTCATGCATATTGGCTGTGAGACACTCGCATTTGATTGGTTTCACACGCTCACACACCCCCGATTTATCATGCTGAAGTGTCAACCTGGTTGGTCAAAAGCCTGGCAGATGAGTTTTTTTATATATCTACCTGTTGAGCCTCTCATGATCGAGTAGCTATGCCGAAAATTAGTTAAATTCTCCTGGAATCTAGAGCGAGCATGCATGCGAGACAGAGATTGTGCTTCAAACCACCTAGCGCCACAGCGGCTCTAGGGGTCGCTGTTTCACAAAAACATCTAAGCTTTAACTGATTTGTTAAACACATTTAAATTATAAATAAAACATAATATAATGTGGTAACCTCCGACTGTCATGCTTTCTGTCTCTCAGCCTATGCTATTTGGATCGTTATGTCTAGGCCTACACTCAATGAACAACATCTCAACACTAAATTAAAGGCCTGTCTCATATAGACACTTGTCTCAAATACAAGCCAATGCAGTTTGTCGATTTGGGAAAATAAAAGCCTGGGCTAATATTTGACGTTTTACGGTAGTTAGGTTTGAGGAAAAAAATCTATAACGATTTGGCGAGCCAGCCAGGAGCCTAAGGACTTTTCGGACAACAGACGAGACAAAGTCACTAAGTGCAAATAGACGCTGCCAAAAAGTTGGATTTAATAAAAAAAACATACTGTAAATTTCAGAACTCAAACCCCACTTCCCATGATTCTTTGACTCAAGAACCCCTTTGCAAAACTCTTCATGGTTGTGACATGAAGGAGGACAAATGTAAAACCTTGTAATATCTTTTGTTGCGGGCTCTAAAGTAATTTAAAAAAGTTTAAGTCTGATTTAAATCTGCTTCCAGTGTTTACAACACAAATACCTTGATACTTCCCGAGCTCTTCAGTCCACAGGCTCTGAGTCTCATAATGTCTCTCATCATGAATAAACACCACACGTGAAGCTCCTGCATCATCTGCATTCTGGATCAGCTCCTGATATGTTACAGGATTGATATTAAAGACAGATTTGATGAGATATTTAAGATGATGCAAAAGTCTTCATGCAATATTTAAACCTATTTTAGCCTACCTTCAATATTTGTCCTCCATCTGGGTACCGTCTCAAAATTTCTTTCAGGTAATCAATGAATGGTGGAGACGTCGCACCAAATTTATTTCTGCATCGAACAATGTAAAGTTTATCACAAACTGCACAAAACACATACAGAGAAAATTCAAGGTTCATGCAATTGTCACGTCTATTCAGTTTTATTCTTAGTTTCTGTTTTCCTGGACTTTTAGTTTGTTTTCATCAGTCACATGTGTTTCTTTGTCTCAGTTTACAGGCCCTGTTTACACGAGAACGTTCGTGGGTGAAAACGTAAAAATATTTCATCGGATGTGCCTTTCGTTTACACGGCGATGGCTTTTTTGGGGCTTAAAAATGCGAAAAAGTGAAGCACCCTCCAGAGTGGAAATCTTAAAAACGCTCCACCGCCGCGTACCTGTGTAAAGGGTAAAAACGCAAAAGTATACTTGGCAGTGAAGGTTGTACACAGGTTTGCGGACTTGGTGTTGTTGTGTGGCAGTGCTTCACATCGCCACCTAGCCGCCTGGAGTGCATACTACATTGAATTCCACACACTTTTGTGTCACCATATGCACGCGGATTTCCCACCCAAAACGTTCGTTTAAACGCACAATAAAAAGTGATAATGCAACGCAACTTTTGCGTTTTTTCCTCAGAATCGTTTCCGTGTAAATATAGCCTAAGTTGCTCCGTTTTCCGTTACTGTTTGTTGCACACACACACTGTTACTGTCCTTTCTGTACCCAAGTTTACTAAAAAATCTTCATCATTGTGAAAGTAATAGACTAAACACAAAATCAGCTTAAAGGAGAACACCGGCGCAAAATGAACCTTTGGTCTAATTACACATTGCTACCTAGTGACTCTACCAGTCGATCTACGAACGCCAATCCAAGTGCGCTGAACTGTGCAGAATCTCATATGGTCCGTTGTTTCCAGAAGAAACACAAACACGAACCGTTTTTTTCTCTTCAATATGTACATGTAGCCTACTGTTCGCGCTCACCTTATCACCTTATTCACATCTCACCAGCGCACATGGATCGGCGTTCGTAGATCGACTGGTAGAGACTATTTTTCAAAGATGGCTTCTTCCTGTATTCGCGAAGTTGACTGTGTGTATAAAATATCTTCTTATTAAACTGTATGGACACTGACAAAGTTCTCAATGCTTCGGTTTGAATGTAGGGACCCTTATTATGCTGCCGTGTTACTGTGGGGCTATTTTGAACCTTGTTAGTGGTAATAACAAGCGATTTTTATTTGTCATTACTCTATGCCCTATATACTAGCATTATACTAGCGTTATAGGCTAAACTGTTTTTAGAGATAAAACTATTTACATTCGGCAATCATGAAAACAAATCTCAGATAACGGTTGACTAGGTAACAATGTGTAATTAGACCAAAGGTTCAATTTGCGCCGGAGTTGTCCTTTAACTGTTAGTATGCTTGAGATTATTTGTACATTTTTTTTCATAAACATGCTTGATCTGATGACTCTCAGTGTACTTTAACACTATTGAATAATACTGCGCGTTTCAAGGCACTCAATGGGACTTTCAATGCATACAGGGATAATTAACGTAATCAAAAAAAAAAAACTAAAAAAACATGAAGACAATCTAGCAAAGTGGAACACAGGCAAACAGGAACAATAATACTGGACATAATCGTTACAATAACATGCAAATCCACATACTTTTTCCTCTTTTGCTTCGATGCTGAACTCATTGTTCTTCTCTTACATTCTCCTGTGTGGAAAAAAAAACAATAATTAACTTAAACAACTTTTTAAACAGTTATTCCAATATAAACTGTTACAAATACTGTAAAATGTAATCTCAATAAAAAATATAACGTATGTAAGATTGCATACACCTCGCAGAATCTGCTAAATGTTAATCTTTGGAAAAAATAAGAGGATCGTCATAAAAATTTTCCATATAGTCTACAAGAGAAAATAATTACTGAATTTACACAACTGAACAAGCTCAGAAGTTTTGCACACTTAATCTTATACTGTGTTGTTGGTTGACTGGTTTAATCTTTTGTGATGATCATATACATCTATTAAAAAAGCTGTAAACATTTACTGACGCTCAAGAAGGCATGTGTCACACACACATAGAGGCAACTTACTGCAGAGCCAATGGGTAGAACTTTGTGACCCTCTCTGTGGACCTAATCAATGTCCAACAACACCATAAGCTCCACACAGATCCACAGAGACCTTGCATACACACAATCAAAGTTCAAATCATATGTTAGTCATACGTCAACTTTGCCTCAAGAACCAGTGGTTTCAATCAAAATTTTACATTTTAAAACAGCTTTTATCCAAAAAATAAATAAATAAATAAATAAATATTCTGTGGCAAATTAGCAAACCTGAAATTACTGAAAATTTATTTATAATCTCGGATTAATGTGCTTACATGGTTGCTAATTATATTTTTATGCATGCACTTAAAGGTCTTAAAGCACTTGAACCTCGACAACTACAGGTAATTTGCTATAAAAAGCATTTAAATATGGTTTAAACTGACAAAATTTGAACAATTGTGGACTATATAACAATCTGCTATGTAAAAATAGCTTATTCATACTTGTGGTAATTTTTAATGCCATTTTCACGATTCCTCTTTTGTACTTTTTAAATAAAAAATACATGTAGCCTAATGTTATATTATGCATTATTAAATTATAGTATTACATTATTCGTAACATTTGAAAAACTTCTAACCTCCTACATGCGGTTATCTCCTACCTTCAGTGGTCCTGATGCAGAGTGAACGCGGCAATCAGAATGAGTCTGGTAATAAACCGCTCAGCGCGAGCTTTCTATGTTTCACAATGATAAAGCCCAACTGGTTCTCTAGGTTTCTGTTCTCTGGAACGGATCCTGTTTAGTGAAACGAAACTTAGCCTACACTCCTCCTTCACTCATTGTTCAATGAATTAATTTGTCAAATAGGCCTAAACCAGTTTTCACTAAAATAGCTCCGTTTTTAACTAAACCAGACATTTATAGTAAATTTTCCAAACCAAAAAACAGGATGTCCTGCTTGAAAACCATTTATTGTGGTTCGTGGTTTAACAGATAACATTTTTTTTGTGTTAATTATTTATTTAAAACCATTACTTTCGAGGAAATTACTCCTATGACTGAATAGAAAAGAGCAGGAAAAATAAAAAAACGGGTCTAATAAACTAAAGAAAGTTTTTAAAGCTTTTTAAAATGTTTAAAGGAGATCCCTTTTTAATGTATCATGAGTTAGCCTACCTTGCAAAAAATAATAAATGTAATATCCTGAATCTGTATTAATTCTAGGGGATTTATAACTATCTTAAATATAATCGTAAATAATTAGGCTACTTTTATTTTGATAGCATGGCAGTGAGCAGGTTGCTTTTTGTATGGCTTCCACCACGAAAGAGAGAAACTGATTCCCTTTGTTTACAGTGTATTTCATCCTCCAGTGATAATATCGCCGTCAGCTCGTGTGATTTTCGCCAAAACCTGCAAATGTTGACGTGTATTTCATGGCGCCATTATTCTACATCCATGTCCGTTCATCTGTGGTGAATTAGCTTATCTAACCATAAGCAGAATCTGACTCATGTGCACTGAATAATGTGACGGGATCCTCTGTAACGTTAAAGCTTCAGTTCGGTGTGTGTGAGGATGTTCTGTGTGGAAACTGTCGAGTAAAGGGTGAGTCTGCGTTTTTGCATTCTTGGATGTTGCGTAGCAGCTAATCACGAACAGGGAATGAGGAAATATTTCAGCCGCTGAGAAATGTTTCCCCTGGCGTAGGCTAAGTCATGTTTGGTTGTGTTTTGTGGGGAAAGCATCTTTGTTGGGGAGACGGACTTGATTCCACGCCCAGTTATTAGCGAACACACTCATCTTCAGTTGTTTGCTGCATCATGTGTTTTGATGTGTGAAGACAGTCGCGGTGCTCGAGGCTGTCCCAGGAAGGAATTTGCTCAAACCTGCTGTCCTCAACCATATAAACTATCACTTGTTTTAAAGGGCATTAAACTTATATGGTAGTTCTATAAAATACACACATAGATGCATATCTTTCCAAGTGTCAAACATATTTCCAAACATTTTATGGAGATCTTCATCTAGGCGAGAGTAAATTAATTCTCCCCTCCTTTATTAAGTTATTTATTAATTTTGATTTATTCAGTGTTTTTGCTAAAGATTTAAATCAGAAAGTCTATCCAATATAATAACATAAATATAACTGCTGCCATTGGCAACAATCAGCTGTGACGTCAAAGGAAGCAGATAAGGAGAAGTAGGCCTATGTCACACTCAAGATCGAGCACAAGTGTTCAGGTCGACTGCTTACCCAGCAAAGTCAAAATCACAGTCAATACTCATCTTGAAAGTCGTCAACAACCAATTTTATGATTAATCTTATGATTCTATTTGGCAAATTTCACATTCATAAAAGTAAATTTAATAATTCTAAGCCTTGTTTAAAGTTTTTTTTGGCTGATTTTATGTTGTATATTGAATCTCTTAAATGTATAGATAATAAGAAATGCTCGGACACAATTGTATTTGCTAAAGAATTGAAAATAATTGAACAGTGAAGAATTATATGTTTCTCTTCTTTCCTCAATACTGTCTTGGATTGTAATTTCTCGTAGCTATTATATTTATAAATAGTTAAATTTAGCCCTTATATTTATTATTATTTATTATTTTTTTTTTATTTAGTCTCTTGTTCATTTATGTTAAACTATTTTTGGAAAATCTTGGATTGTTGTCTTTTTGGATGTCATGTTATTGTTTGTATGTTTGTATAATGTCTAATAAAAAAAAAAAACACTTTTAAGAGCTCTGCATAAAATTCAGCCACTGGTTAAACATCTTCTAGGCCCTACATGATTACATATTTGCAATCATAAATACATTGTACCAAACCTTACATTTACCACAAGCTGATTGGCTGAAAAGATTTATATCCACCAGCTAACAAATGTATGTCCTAGGAACGTTTTGTTAACATTCCCATTAAGTTATGAAAACTTCTTCTTTTTCTCTGAACGTTCAAAACATCCAGTTTTTAAAATGTTTTTTTGGTTATGCGAACATAAAGACAACATTACATTTCATCGTTTAGCAAGCAGCACTACACTGTTATTAGTTATGCAGGAAGAGGATATTTGTTTTCTTTTTTGACAGAAACAAATGATGTTGCATCATTTGCATATCTGTAGCCCTCAAACCATGTTCACTTTATGGCCTTTAATCCTGTAATTGTGGACAAATGTGGGCACAGAGGACTCAGGTGTGATCCTAATTTTTATTTATTATAAATGTCTGATTATAAATCACTGTCTTCGATAAAGTTTTGTCTACCCATTTATGGTGTTTTTTATTTTTATTTCGGGGGTGTTTTGAATTTACTTCAAAAAGTACCATATTAACTATGTACATTTTTTTAACTACATTAAAATCTCATTACAATAAGTTCTTAGAGCTAAAACCTAAAGATGAAGTGACTTTGCTGTCACCTGGTGTCTTATTTTGGCTTATTTTAGAATGCTCTAAATGACAGTTTTTCCCATTCATTTCTTTGGGTGCCCATTTTTGACCCAAATACAAGATTAAGGAGTTTTTTTTCCCACCCACTTAACATTGTAGAATTGAGTCAAAAAAAAGTGTGTGTGTTCTGAGGCAAACTTAGGAAAAGAAGCCAAGTCTTGTACCACTCAGATTTTTTTTTTTATTTGCGGACATTTGTCCAGAATACGGTTTTAGGGTTAAATCATTCTTATAGTGTTGTCAAAAAGTACTGACTTCTTGGTACTGATATTTAAAAAATGTGACTATGCCTGCATTTCCCTCTAGCATTTTGAGCACCGCTGAATGGATTCTTAAACACCTCTGATTGGCCATTGTATTCACATGCTCGACATATCTCTGATTGGCTACAATTATTAACAATATCATCTTTGACGCTCCCGAGCGCTTACACAGATGCACACAGGAGCGTCAATCAGCTGATCCCCAATGTATGATAGACGCCACTCCCTGTGTAAAGATAACATGTTTTTGAACCGTTGATCATTGTAGTCAATGACAGACATACATTGGGTCTCATTCATGAAACATTCGTAAATATACGAGTAAATATAAGAGTGATTTGCGCGTAAAGAGACCTTCCCGAAAACTCTTCTCCTGATTCACAAATACTTCGTAAACGTCAGATGTGATAGTGAAATGTGTGTGTGTGTTAATGAATTCCAATCAGTCGTAAATGGGATGCGCGGGCACGTTCATTCTCAATTACCATTAATCCCGCCCATTATATCGAACTGACATCTATATGCATATGATAACATGAATGTGAATGAAAAAGAAAGATTTCTCGGATGCAGAAATTGAAGTTTTATTATCAGAAGTTCATTCAAAATGCCACATTTTATTTTCAAGCGTACATATTGGCCTATCAGGTCAATATCGAAAAAAATCGAAGCTTGGCAGCATATTTCAGATACAGTTAATGGAGTTTCATCTGTTAATCGAACAGTCCCAGAAGTGAGAGGAAAATGGTTCGACATTAAGCTTGACAGCAAAAAAACAAATTAGTTCACTTAGGAAAAATCAAACTGGAGACTATTACTGGCTCTGATAATAAGTAAAAAGAAAAACCGTAACTGTAATTACTATATAAAATATATATATTTTTTTCAAAATTCTGTTTAAATATGTGCCCGATTAAGGTGAATTAAAATGCAGCCTTATTAATGAGCAAAACGTTCAGATGTTAAAGTCCCCGTGAACCGGAAGTTGCAAACGACTTTTCTCCAGTGTTGTGACGTATTTCCGTAGAAATACGAAGAAAAACGGAAGAATACTAAACGGAATACTAAATGAGGCAAAATAGTGGGCGTGGCTTTTTTTTCCAACTAGCACCTGATTGGATCTAGAAAAGTGGGTGTTTCATGGGTGATGCATTTTTTTGACGCAAGTTTACACACGCTGCCCAGACAGCAAACTGACATTGAATCAACGTGGAAACGACGTCTCTCATGACATTGAAACAACGTTGATTTGCTCATCGAATTAACGTTGAACCAACGTCAGACGCGGCATTCTTCAAAGCTAAATGAAATCGAAAATTGGTTTGCTTTCATAACGTTGAAACAACGCGTTGATTTCAAGTTGATTTTCCGTTAGTTTTGAAAGAATGACGCATCTGACGTTGGTTCAACGTTAATTCGATGAGCAAAACAATGTCAGATCAACGTTGTTTCGATGTCATATTTCCACGTTGATTCAATGTCAGTTTGCTATCTGGGTGTCAATCAATGCTCGCTCGGCGCTCGCAAACACACAGCAGCTGTCAGTTGGAGGGGCGTGGTTATGGATGTTAAGGAGACACCCAAACCGTAAAGCCTACGTCATCGGGCAAGGTCCTCCAATGCAGAGGGGAGGGGCATTTTCAAAATTTGATTAAAGATTAGGAAGCCAAACATTTTTTTTGTGTGTGTGGATTGACTTGCATGTATGAATTGTTCACCACAAAACGATCAATTTAGGCAAACAAAGTAATATGGTCAATTTTGATTTCATGGGGACTTTAAGCGCACCATTTACGCGTGGCATAGGGGTGCACGATTCAGAAAATGTCACGATTCGATACCGATTTTTTGTCTTGGGATTCGATTCAAAATCGATTTTCGATTCAAAAACGATTCTCGATTCAAAAAACGATTCGCAGGTCTATATAAATGTAGTTTACTTTTTCCTATGTGATTGATTGCAGTAGACATAATTTAAAAGAAAAGTTTGATATTACTTTATATGTCTTCATACAAAAATAAAAAAATTTTGCAACTAAAAAGTGCGAAGTGCCAAGCTTTGGCCAGCTTTTAAATACATTTAATTCAAGTTTAAAATAAAACTTAAATAAAAAGCTTTTACATTTAGCTTTACAGTGCTGTAGTCAGATCAAACAAACAATTATGCTAAATGTGGTTTAAGGAGTAGGTCTACTTCAGCTACCAGGTTGACTGTTGAAATGTGAACTCGACTGGGCACATTGAACTTCCTAAAAATATATACTAATTTCATAGAACCCTTGCGAAAATATTTTAAATTGATTTAAAAAAGCCACGCTACTGGTTACATCTATGGTTAGATTGATTTGTTTAGATCCAGTGAAGTCGTTCATAGGCGCGTAATTTGCGGGTATCTCCAGTTAACTAGCAGAGCATTCATTTAGTTCGCTATTAAATAAGAGACCTGTTGTTTTTGAAATCAAGCTGAGCGCTTGTGTCCGCTGCGATCAGTGTCATGGATATACAGTGTTCTCTGTGGCTCGCACAGTCTTCTCTCGGACGCGCGCTTCAATCTATCGCCGTTGTGGAGACTCCGGTGAAATCACAAAATGAAATGCACACAAACGTGATGAACATATTCGGTTTTGATGAGAGAGAGAAAAAACTATACGAGTGCGGTTTAGAACCCGTAACCTCTGACACGCTTGGCAAAAGATCTACAGAACTCAAACACAAGATCTGCGGATCGATGCATTTATTTACGGGTTGAGCAGAGTGGCTGCACAGTTTGACCAGCGGGCGGCAAGAACTTGCAATAACTATTTATCAGACCGGCCCTCGCAGCCTCGAAACCATAGAAACACTACCGGACCACCGGTAAAAGTCCCGACTCACCCGATTGCCACTCCGCCCCTGCACGCCATTAAAAAATATAGCCTATATGAATCGATTTTTGGAATTCTATGAATCGATTCTGAATCGGTAAAGATTGAATCGCGATTCAAATATGAATCGATTTTTTTGCACACCCCTAGGCTGGGAGCAGGTGTAGATTTCTTGCGTATAAACTAACATTTGGAAAATATGAACATTTTAATGAATCCGAAAACTATGCCAGAACCACTTTACACACGATTTACACACAAATTCATTCTGCTCGTGTTTCATGAATGAGACCCAATGAGTGCGTCAACACAATGGCCAATCAGAGGTGTTTAAGAATCCGTTCAACAGCGCTCAAAATGCTGGAGGGAAATTCTGGTATCGTCACATTTTTAAAACGTTAGTACGGACTTGCTAGTACCGAGTGTTCTTATACACTTATACATTAGTAAAGAGTTGATTATTCCATTTGCTCTAGTTCTCATGCTTTTTTAGAATAAATTAGTGGACATTTAGACCGCCAATTGATGCTGACTCTCAATTACACCTGTAAGACATTTTGAACTCACTGTATTGGTAACTCATGCAATGTTTTTTTCATTAGGTGTGATGGACTTTTGAATCATTCAGCATGTCCCACTCGTCCAAGCCTCGATCTCACCCTTGCGGCCTGTGTGACAAATCTTTTACCCAGATCTCCATGCTCACTAAACACAAGCGAATGCACACCGAAGACAAGCCCTACAAATGCCCCTACTGTGACAAATCTTTCTCTCTTTCTTCTCGCCTGGTCCTGCATAAACGCAGCCACGCCGGGGAGAAGCCTCACACCTGCCGGCTTTGCTCCAAGACCTTCATCTCTTCGTCCCACCTCTCCCTGCACATGCGATCGCACTCCGGAGAGAGGAAGTACAAATGCAGCGTGTGCTCCAAAATGTTCATGCAGTCGTCCCAACTTCTGCGCCACAAGACCATCCACACCGGCGAGAAACCCTTCAAGTGCCCCGACTGCAACAAGAGCTTTGGCCGTGCCTCACACCTGAAGACCCATCGCAGGCTCCACACCGGCGAGAAGCCCTTCAAATGCACACAGTGCGACAGGGCTTTCACGCAAAAGGCCGGGCTTGTTATCCACCTGCGCTTGCACACGGGCGAGCGCCCTTTCAAGTGTGACAAGTGTGGGAAGGCCTTCCGCACGTCCGCACACCTGCTCAACCATCAGGCCCTGGAGCTGGGCGAGGGACGGTTCAGGTGTGCCACGTGTCAGAAGGGCTTCCGGTCCATGTCCATGTTGAAGCAGCACGAGAAGAGCCACCAGGGCAGCGGGACGCTCTGTTGTGGCGTTTGCTCCGGGACCTTCGCTCAGTCCTCTTATCTGCAGCTCAACCTGCACTTACACGGCGGAGAGCAGCTCTTCCACTGCAAGGTGTGCAACAAAATATTCGTGAAGATGTCCACCTTTGAGAAACACTGCACAAAACATCAGATGGAGATGGACAATGAATGCGAGGACGAGACCGTAAAAGAGGAAGATCCCCCGTTCGAGCTGCATTCTGCTGCATCCCCGACAGCATCCACATCAGAGGTCAACACGCGCTCCAAAACAAGAGCCAAAATCAAGAGTACAATGGACAACTCTTAATCGTGGACATCACTGCACCATTAAAGAGGACCTATACACACTTTAAGTCTTGATTTAGTGTTTCAGGCTCTACTAGAACAGGTTTTCCTGCTTGAATGTTGATTATTCTTTATTGTTGTGGCTCCTCTCTTCCCAGTCTGTCAGTATCGCTCTGTTTACTTCCTGTCTCTATGAAGCCCGTCCTTCTGAAAAGCACACTGTGCTCTGATTGGTCGGCTGGAGCAGTGTGTTGTGATTTGTCAAGAGCTTCGAGTGTGTTTGGGAAAATGTCCCGCCCCTTACAATAACCACCAGATTAAGGCCCCGTCCACACTACTGCGTTTTCGTTTAAAAACGGAGACCTTTTGCTACGTTTGCACCTCCCGTCCAGGCTAAAACGGGAAAAACGAAGACCTAAAACGGAAAAGTTTAGAAACGCTGCAGCTCTGTTTTGCGTTTTGAATCTCCGGAGGGCGTTTTAGTGTAGACAGGACAAAACGGAGGACTTCAGAAACGCTGACGCAGAGGCTGACGCTCGGCTCTATGATTGGGTGTTATCAGTCATGACGTATCCTTCCCTGATTCGTCAATCACTGTTTACACCGGCACGTGCATGCCCAGTGTTGGTGAATTGTCATGTGATCTGCGTTTTCAGTAGTTTTAATGTGGACTGAGACCATTTCTAATACGCAGATAAAAACGCTGGTGTGGACGGAGATCGTAATCGTTTTAATTCTCAGTTTTTAAACGAAAACGCAGTAATGTGGACGGGGCCTAACACACTACTAACTAACTCAAACAGGCCCCGCCCCTTTATTCTGCATAGGAAATATTTAAATGAGGAATACTGTGACGTGTTCCCGGAAGAAACTCAAGACTACAATGGAGGCGTTTCCGGAGTTCAGAAACATTGGCCTTGAGAATAACTGGATTTTTTTTTTAATGCGCAAACAGCAACATCACACACTAAATAAAGATCAACATGTGAAAAAGCATATGAGGACCTCTTTATCATAATGCCCTACTGTATTTATGATTTATGATATAAATGATGCCTTCATTTTCTCATATCTATGAACCTCTCTCTGCACTCATACAGACCTGTGTATCATGTAGGTGTATAAGTGTTAAATAAGTGTATAAGTGTTTGCACTTAATTTAGTTTATTGTTTTTTATCCATCATACTTATCAAAAAGTGGCAAAGCACTATAGTTACAAGCTCAGTATAGGTACAGTACAGGTACAGGAACCGTACAGTATAGGTACATCTACAGTATAGGAACATCTAACGTATAGGTACAGTATAGGCACATCTACAGTATAGGAACATCTACAGTATAGATACAGGTACAGTATAGGAACATCTACAGTATAGGTACAGTATAGGCACATCTACAGTATAGGTACAGGTACATTATAGGTGCATCTACAGTATAGGTACATCTACAGTATAGGTAAATCTACAGTATAGATACAGGTACAGTATAGGAACATCTACCGTATAGGTACCGTATAGGTAGATCTACAGTACAGGTACAGTATAGGAACATCTACAGTATAGATACATCTACAGTATAGGTACAGTATAGGTACATCTACAGTATAGATACAGGTACAGTATAGGAACATCTACAGTATAGGTACAGTATAGGAACATCTACAGTATAGATACAGGTACAGTATAGGTACATCTACAGTATAGGCACATCTACAGTATAGGTACAGGTACAGTATAGGTGCATCTACAGTGCAGGTACAGTACAGTATAGGTACATCTACAGTATAGGTACAGTATAGGAACATCTACAGTATAGGTACAGTATAGGAACATCTACAGTATAGGTACAGTATAGGAACATCTACAGTATAGGTACAGTATAGGTACATCTACAGTATAGGCACAGTATAGGAACATCTACAGTATAGATACAGGTACAGTATAGGTACATCTACAGTATAGGCACATCTACAGTACAGGTACAGTATAGGTGCATCTACAGTATAGGTACAGTATAGGAACATCTACAGTATAGGTACAGTATAGGTACATCTACAGTATAGGCACATCTACAGTATAGGTGCATCTACAGTATAGGTACAGTACAGGTACAGTATAGGAACATCTACAGTATAGGTACAGTATAGGTACATCTACAGTATAGGCACATCTACAGTACAGGTACAGTATAGGTGCATCTACAGTGCAGGTACAGTACAGTATAGGTACATCTACAGTATAGGTACAGGTACATCTACAGTGCAGGTACAGTATAGGTACATCTACAGTATAGGCACATCTACAGTACAGGTACAGTATAGGTACATCTACAGTATAGGTACAGGTACATCTACAGTGCAGGTACAGTATAGGTACATCTACAGTACAGGTACAGTATATGAACAGGTACAGTATAAGTACAGGTACAGATATTATTTCATTATCTGCAAAGATATGAATCTGCCATGCCATGCATAATTCAACTGAGGTTGTCTTTTCATTCCTATTCAATTCCCTCATATTTAATGCCTTGAATTTGAATTGAAGTGGCTAACCGATTTAAATGCTACCGTAATATTTGTATTAATTTGACATGTATAACCTGAGGGTGCAAGGACACTTCTTTTCTATGTTGAATGACACTGCATTAGATTTTTGTTGTTACCCATTTTTATTCAAATAATATCAATCTAAGAACTCAATCTAAACTGGAAACAATTCTTCAGTTCTGAATTTTGCACAAACCTGATTAATACAAAAACTTACTTCTATACATACTATATCTAAAAATACAGACAGATAAAATAATTGAGACCTTTCTGCGACACTTTCTGTATTGTCTCTAGATTTCCACAGAATTCAAAGGGCTGTCATTTGTAGCATTTATTTAAAATAATAAGAATAATATTTTACTTGTAAGATTGTTGTAATCTTGGCAAGAAACTAATCTCAATTAAATGTTTAAAACCAGTCCTCCGAATTCTGCTGATTTCTGCGCAAAATAAGCAGAGAAATGTGTAAAAACATTCGCTCTGTGTCTAGTCATATTGCACATCTTAGATTTCATAAAGGAGTCAAGGAGGATCATAAAAGAAAATATAACAGAACAACTAAATGATTTTTATTGCGTAATTTCAAAGAGCTGAAGTAAAGTAATATTGACAGTGGGTAGTTGAATTATGTAATATAATGTACAGTCTGGTTTCATATCCACAGAGAAACTCACAATACATAAATGCTTGGTATATTTATGCAGAGTTTCATTTTGCTGAAGTCTATTATAACAATGCTGTTGATTGGATTACTTGTGTTAATAGTGTTAATAGTGTAGATGTTTATTTATTTTCTTAGTTTAAATGTAAGCTATTGTTAAAAATGTGCATTCGATTTATTGTTAAATTTCTATTACATTATTACGTATATGTTGTTATAAATGCAAAGACAACATCTGTGATCGACACCTGAAATAAAACTATTAATTTCTTTAACCCCCTCAGACCTGAATTATGTTTCAAGTTTCTGAAAAATATAAAAGTACATTTCCCCAGCTCATGAGGCTTCTATAAATGAAAACAAATGAATATATATATATATATATATATATATATATATATATATATATATATATATATATATATATATATAATTGCTTTCATTGTGAGGTTTTTTTTTTTTGTCCATTCCAATGGACATCAGGTCAAAACAGGTGTACTTGCCAAAAATGTACCAACATGAAATAAATTAATAAACATAAAATTTGTTGGTCTATACTTTAAGCTTTTTCTCAAGGTCAAAAAAATTCCAGCAGTACCATTTCAACTATAATTTTGAGGTTTTTGTTTTACAGATTGCACATTGTTTGTAACAAACTAAATAGGCTATCTTTGAATCAATCAATCTAAAGTCATTTTCTGTGTGCATCTTTCTTTTTTTAGAACAAAAACTTGAACATAACATTACAACTTTAATCGTGTTTTTCCTTTATATATTGCACATATATTGCATTTATTCATGACAAAACAAACCTAGGAATCAATCAATGCATTCATGTTAAAGTCATTTCCTGTGTGCATCGGACGAGTCCCCGGACACGCCCCCGTCCCACGAACCCACTATTTGTCCAATAACCCACTATTGCCTTCATGCAATAAGAGAAACTCAAAATTTCAACCCCCCCAAAAAACGACAGGGGTCCCCCTGTCGACTTTTTCGGTGCAAGAAAATAAGTTTCTCTGATCTTCTTGAAACTCTGGATTCTGATAGAGTGCACACTAGAGTGACTTCCTGAGTGCAAAAATGGAGGCTTAAGACCCTTCCAGAGCGGAGATATTTATAATGGCAAATGCTACGTGGGATTTCAATATCTGAGCTCTGGAAGGTCTAGCCTCCATTTTCGCACTGAGGTCTAAGTCCCATGGCCCTCTATCAGAATCCAGAGTTTCAAGAAGATCAGAGCAACTCAAAATTTCGACCCGGAAAAAAAAACGACAGTGGCAGCCCTTTCGTTGTTTTTTTTTTGTGTGAAAAAAAAAAGTTTCTCCAATCTTCTTGAAACTCTGGATTCTGATAGAGGGCCATGAGACTTAGACCTGAGTGCAAAAATACATACTGTATGTGACCCGCTCTGGCGAAATGAGTCGGAAGTCGCAACGTTCCATTTTAAGATATGGCCCGATTATGTGGAAAAACATTGAAATAACCAAATTTTTTTTTTTTGCTAATTTCAAAGAACAGACATTCAAAAACAATCTCCCGAAGTTTCGTAGTCCAAATAATTGAGTAAAGGTATTTAAATGACGATTAAAGTTGTCAAAGCTTTAAATTCGCGGAAATAAACATTGCTCTTCTCAACTCCCCTCACATTTCCCGGGTATCCGCTGAAACGTTGAACTCAAAGCGTTGAACTCACTGGAGGCTTATAACCTAAGCTGTGTGAGTATATCTTCAAGAAGAATACATCTAAAAGGCTGTAACGATCGCGACACTCAGATCCACGAACCTGTCGCGGTGTGAGAAGACAGAATCACGACACGTCCCTTCATCTCCCGCCGTCATCCTTCAAGTCCAGACCCGATTCTACCACATCTTTAATTTACTATTATTTGAAGAGTTCAAATTATAAAATACGTAGACCTACAACAAAACT